TATACTTCGAAGTATATGATATATATATATATATATTATAGGTCTGTCAGATATAATATATTCATCATATTTATACGAACTTGTCAAATATAATACTTTGAAGCATGTTCATCAATATATATGAATATATGTATTATAGGATTACCGGTGGGGTATATTGAGTAGGAGGGCCCACAACCGAAGGCGACCACAGTGGCCGCTGCCGAGGCTGGGCGACTGTGACTTTGCCATTGCTCACAACGGGGCAGCGGAAGGCCATCGTGTGGTCCACGCCAACATATAGTTCATCCCACCACGTTTGCATGGCGTCATAAGTATACAACCCCACCAAATCCACGGTTTCTAATGAGAATGGTATAATATATATTTATATATATATAGGTGAAGTAGTATAGTACCTGCAACGAACGGGACGTGGGACACGGACGTGACGCCGTTGACTCGGATTTCCAACTGCCATGTACTCCAGTTGAGAAAAATGTCGAATTGATACCATTGAAATGCATGGACGACCGGGAGCAGCGGCTAATTTACAGCACGCAGTTAGGATATCAATCATGGGAGGTTTAAGCATGTCATAGTGTATCTGTTCCTGTAGGGAATAAATACCTGGAGGGGAAACCCTCGCGCATTTGTTGAGTACGTAAACGCGCCATCTAGCATTCCAATGCCCACGATAAACAACGTGGGGTCTGCAGAGTCGTGCAGGCCGAAGAGTCCCCCTAGGATTGAATTCATAAGCATTAGAAACCCCAATAACTAATATTTTACGTACCTCGATTGGTCTGCAGTGAGCCTTGTCGGACCGACCCCAGACGAATGAAATACGAGATTCTGGTGGGCTGGCTCGGGAACATGTAAAAACTCGGTCCTTCCAAAGTCGGGATTTGGTCTATTACGCTTTTGGCTATGTATAAAGACTTGGAGGTTTGGGCCGCGCCAATCAATGGGTCCGTGGTGACTACGTACATTCGTTTATACAGTTATATATATATGGAGTAGACGTACTCTGCAATTGGGTTTGCACATCCGTACGAAGTGTATTGCAGTAGACCCCCCCGGTTCCAGAATATGCCACGGAGTGTGCATAAAGGGAAATTTCCCCGTCGGATCCGTCTTCCCCGGGACTTCGGGTACCTTTTCCCCCCAAACCCCCTTTCGCCGATAACGTGCCCATCACGTGGATGCTTGTGCCACTGGAAATTACGAGGGAGCCCCCACTAGAGTACACATCTTTTGTTTGGGACAAATCCTATTTCCCAATCTTTACTATGGTGTGTTTACCTGCCGCCGCCGCCTGCAAAAATGCCATTTTCGCCAGCTTGGCCATTCACCGAGATGGATGCATTGGGACCAAATGTGATGTCATTCACGGCAGCCACATATATTGCCCCTAGCAAAAGACTCGTTATTGAGGGGAATAAGTCTCAGTGTTGATACCTCCGCCAGCACCCCCATAGATAGGTCTTGGGAATTGTTGAACGTCAGTGGGGTAATTTCCCCCGCCTCCACCCCCACTACCTCCCACCAAGTCGCCTTTTGCGTCCAGTACCCCGCCCTTCCCGCCTATGAAAATGAAAATGGGGATTATTCCCAATTTTTTTGACTATAAATCGACATACCGTAAGCCAGGGAGAACCCAGAGGTGTCAGAAATGGTCACTTGAGCGCCTTGTCCAATCAGAAGCGGTTTCGAGGTGGAGATTTGGGTCACTGGATCCACAACGACCTCGGCAATACTTGCTGTCATAAACGTTAGCGGGTCGTTGGTCACGGGTGCCGTGGGGCTGGTTGGAGATATATTTCCTCTATATATATTAATATCACTAAAATATATTGACATAAATATATCCTCTTACCTTGTCGTGGTCATTTGAATATGCCACGTGCATCCGCGTTCGATCGACGCTATGCATCCGGTTAGTATCTACTAACCAATAACTAGTACGTACTAGGGATGTCCTTAACGACAGTCACAGAGTTAATAAACCCGCGGAAAGACGTTTGGAGGGCGTGTTCCAAGTCGGTAGCAGTGATATTATATGGCAAAAACGTCGACAGTTTGTCCCAAAACTGGAGGTAAAACCCCCCACTCAATTGGTTTCCCACTGTCACGAGCCTTGTTTGTACGGTGGACTTGAGCCCCGTCAGGTACGACGTGGGGGCGAGCAACGGGACATTGCCCAACGCTGTCAAGAACGTGACCCGCCAGGTGCGCCCGTGGGCTGCCACGTCATGGCCCACTCGGGTCACTCGAACGCTGCCCGTTCCAAGGCCAATCTCCAAAAAGGCGGTCATGTCCTGCGCACTGGCGTCGTACGGAATGCGTCCAGTGACCCGGAATCCGTCGGACAAGGTGAATGTCCCACGCATGGTTTGTCCCAGTGCCACGCTCGTTTGGATCTCCTGCACAGTCGGGTCCAATTGCCCAGAGGTACGAATGGTATGGGAATACACGCGGAGGCTGGAGCTGCCTGGGCCATTCATGTTGTGCTGGGACAAACCCCCGCCCCCCGGAAACCCCCCCAACGTCCCCGGCGAACTCGCGAGTGCCGTGTTGATTACGATGCTACTGCGACAGAGCAAACTCAACGCGTGAGTGCCTTTGAGTTTCACCTGAACATTCGATCCCTATGGATATATTACGTTTATAGGGATATAATACATATATAGGGATATAATACATGTATAGGGATATAATACATTTATAGGGATATAATACATTTATAGGGATATAATACATTTATAGGGATATAATACATTTATAGGGGTGAATCTCAGCTCAACGATTTGGACATAGTTTCTAGTAGCAGCACTCTTCATTCATATCATAATGCCAGGGTGAACTGGTTAAACGTCTCGAAAACAGATAAGGTGAATGGATTTATTAAGCCAATCAGCCATATGTAATTGGTGTATGGCATCAATTAGTGTGATAGTTCAATGACGTTCTAAAAATAGATCTGGGTCACGTACCAACCGCAAGGTGAGAAAGTTGAACACTGCTACGACTGTCCGGTGGGGGGTTTGCAGCAGCAGCCCTTGGAACGATACGTCGCCAGAGATGACGGCGGCGGTCGTGTCGATGTAAATGGTGCCTGCGGTTAACTCCAACGATCCCAATATGGGAAGTGCAAACGTGTCCAAATTGAACTGTACTGGGGCTTTCCAATCCAACGGAACCGTCCAGTGGTGTACGCCTGTTTTCCAGTCTTCAAAGTCGTTCACTAGTGGAACCTGCTCGCGACTGCCTTGTGCATAAGTCTGGTCGAAGGCCTCCAATTTCGCTTGAGCGATCGTGTACTCTAATGTAAAGTGTCGTAAATATTGGGTTGTTGTTAGTAGTAGGTACCTTCGTCCCCCCGGGCACACCGATGCGTGGATTTACAGCGCTCGTACGCCAAACAAGCAGTGGAGGTTGACGTGGGAGTGCATCGAGTGGACTGCACCAACGCCGTCGTAATGTCAGAAACAAGTGTTGGTGGAGCCCCTACGGTAGTTTGATGGGATTCAAGTGATTCGGATACTAGTGGGGGAATGCTACCATGACCGACGGCTACGAGCAGCAGGAAGCCTGTGGCCAGATACACCCACATCGCGCCAGCCCTACAGTGAAACTGCCAATGCAACCACTTCCAGTTACGGTTGTACAAATTCGTCAGTTTCTGCTACCGATAATAATATTATTGGCAGAAAATATCAGAAACCCCCAAGTTTCGCAACTTTTCAGAAATATCATGGCATCTTTTCAAACAACAGCTAGTGTTTGTGTGGCTACCAAATTTAAGTTTCAACTGCACGTATACTTGCGAGTGATTTCGCCAAATCACGTTAGCATTCGAATCCAATTGACCTAATTTAAGCCTGTACCTATACTTTACAAATAGTAGGATTGGATTGGCAGAAATTGGACAGGACGTGATTTGATTGGCTTACGCGGTTCACTATAATCCAATCTCTTACTGTTAAAAGGCAATCGATTCTGCAGTTTTCAGCTTCGAATCGATTTGACGATATTTTGTTGTGTTTATTCAAAACTGGAGCAATCAGCAATAGGATTTAGCCAATCAGATTGCAGGAAAACCATCTTCAGCGTCGAAATAGTTTGTGACTTCAATTAGTTGACCATCGATCGAAAGATTTGGCGATTCAGCACAAAAGTCCAAATTTTGGGTAAAAGGACAATACCTGTCCTTCATAACTAAGTTTGCAGTAGTTTGTAAAACAATTTTACTTATCGTTCAAATAAATGAAATTCGTTCCATTCGTGTGAGATTCCAACAGTACCGGTGACAGCTACACTATTTTTCAGACCGCTCTGGGTGCCATGGAAAAATTATATGTCAAATTATATCCTCTGACAGAGAATTAATTCCCTTTTCAAATGGGGGTGAGAAAATATATAATTCGAAGTATTTGCAACATATTTTGAAGTGACCCCTGGATGGCATGATGGAATGAAAACTATTGCAGGAATATCATGTACTATACGTATACGTATTAGGTTTAGGGTGCGTCTGGTAACCGGAAAAATTGGAATATTCAGGCATTTTGGAGCCGAATTCAACAAATCTGGTCAAAATTGAAACTTGTCTGGCTTGTCGAGTTTTAACCCAAATCCAATAATTCCACGTGGGATTTACTCGTTGAAGAGACCCAAAACGCCATATTACAAAATGGACCTTTTACCTCCATTTTAAAATTGGCATTTTGGTTAATCCCATTTTGCCAGAAAATGCAATATTATTTTTTAAATGTTACAGCAAGGTCGTGCGATGTTCATCGTGCAGTTTCGCGGCGGCAGCAATGCTGGAGCCATTGTCACAGGCTTCGATCGCGGCTTCCATAGCGGCCTGATCGTATTTCTTGCATTTTGAGCTCATGATGTCAAATGCAAAAGTGATATTATGAGCTTCAGATTTTCGCGTCTTCGCTACTGTTCGGATAACTCATTCTCTTTGAATTTATTTCTGTGTGCCATATTGGGTTACAATGTATTTCCGTATCAGAGTAAGTTGAACTTATTAAAAATATTGTGGACCAAATTTGGGTGAAATACACAATAACGTTATGAGGCACTTTTATATTTTTAGGGTTTCAGTGGGGTTTAGGGTGCGTCTGGTAACATTTCAAAATTAATATTGCATTTTCTCGCAAAATGGGATTAACCCAAAAACAAAAAACCATTTTTAAAAATGGAGGTAAAAGGTCCATTTTGTAAGACGGCGTTTTGGACCTATTCAACGAGTAAATCCCACGTGGAATTATTGAATTTGGGTTAAAACTCTTCAAGCAAGACATGTTTCAATGTTGATCAAATTTATTGAATTCGGCCCTAACATGGCGTTTTGGACCAGAATATTGCAATATTGCCAGGGTTTCAGTATATTTGTTCCATTTGAATATTATTTGAACCCCACGAATGAATGTATTAGCTCGGTTTACTTTTTCTTGTTGGTGACGTTGAATTGAAAGTAAATGATGTCTCCATCTTGGACGACGTAAGTCTTGCCTTCTTGGCGGTACTTTCCCGCGGCTTTTACTTTACTCATGCCCTTCTTATCCCCTTCCGACAACGTTTTAAAGTCTTCAAACCCCACCACTTCGGCTTTGATGAATCCCCTAATATTCATTATTACCAAGAATATTAAAAATATATATTAATTCTTTCAAATATTGTATACCGTTCGAAATCCGAATGAATGACACCGGCGGCTTGTGGCGCCGTGGCTCCCTTGCGCAACGTCCAGCAACGCACTTCTTTGTCACCGGCCGTGAAGTAATACATCAAGTTCAATTGCTTGTATCTACATTTATATATATATTTATATATATATATATATATAATCTCATATATACATATATATACATAGATATATGAGATTCCCACAGCATAAGTATCCTAGATTGGGAAAAATCCTACCCGACTTTGATGATACGGGGCAGCACGGATGGGACTTCGGGGACAAATTCCTTGTTGACCTTTCGCTGGTCCCACAGTTCCTGTTCAAACTCGACGGAAAACGGAATCATGACGCCGCCGCCGTGGGAATCGACCCATTGCTTGATGGGAACCAGCCACTTGTTTCCCTTGCGGATAAAGTCGCGCTTGGTCAAGTTGACCAGGTAGATGATGGGTTTGGTCGTGATCGCCGCTACAAATTAATGTAAAATTAAAAAATCGGGGGTTTCGGGGTTCCGGGGTTTCGGGGTTGTTCGTACCAGGAATCAACTCGTTGATCTTGTCGACTTCGGGGGCGGTCCAGTCGTTCTTGGATGCGATGGACTTGTTCGCTTCGAGCAATTCTTGCACCGTGTCCATGACCCTATAGGAAGAATCCCATTTCGTGTGATGAAATGAAGGGGAAAATTTCCCCGTACGTGAAAAATAGAGGCGGCAACTTCATCGTCGGGTTCTTGCGGACGTCCGTCTCACGGGCCTTGCGCTGCGCCAGGACATACGACAGATCCTTCTTGCACAACTCGCCTTGGATCGTTTCCAAATCGCGAATCGGGTCGACCTTCCCATCGATCACGCGATGAGGCAACATCCCTTCATGTCGAAAGGATCAACGGAATAGATTTCCGTACCGTGTCGTCGACGTGCACGACCTCTTCACTCTCGAACGCGCGAATCACATGGAAGATCCCGTCCACGGCTTGGATATGCGACAGAAAGGCATTGCCGAGGCCGGCGCCTTCCGACGCGCCGCGGATCAACCCGGCAATGTCTGTGCATTGGAGGTACGCCGGGTATTCGCTCGGCGGCTGCCAGACCTTGCACAACCTGGTACATGCAGCAGCATGAGAGTGGTGAATGACTAGATATAGGACGGCACCATTCGTAGCGTTCATCGGGGACCGCACAGCGAGCTTCGTTGGGGTCGATGGTGCAGAAGGGAAAGTTCTCCGCCGCGACACTCTGCGCCGTGAGCAGGTTGAACAGAGACGACTTGCCGACGTTGGGCAGACCCACCAGGCCCATCTTGAGGTTGTTGCGGACGCGGCCGAAGCGCGCGGCGGCGCTGTCCTCAGTGGCTTGCTTTTTCGGAGGCATCGGGAATTACGAAATGCTGGTAGCAGACACAACCACCCAACCATCGGGCATACAAAGTTCAAGGTTAATTCGGACCCTGGTGTTTCGAACGGCGTTTTTTTCAGAATTTGGACGCAATATCTCACCAATTGTGAACATATTGACACCATAAACACAACGTACGGAGCGAATTATCGAAATATATCGTCATTTGGGACTGTTGTCGTGCTAATGACTTTATTGTTGTAGTACTACTTTGTATTCATAACAAGAGCCAATACTACCAACAGTAACTGTAAACTATGGTTGTGGTACTGTAATATACTAGTAGTAGTACTAACAGTGATCGTAAGGGAATGGTGAGAAGTTCATCCAACCAATCAATTACTACTAGTACGTACTTCCATAATTACATCAACTTTCGGAGGTTTCACCAGCAATATACCGGTAGTATCCCCCGTTATAATTAATACTTGTACTGGTGATATATGTGGATTCGGTACAAATATCTCGCCGCCGGATCGAATCACGAATCGACCCTATTGGCTAATCTAATTTTGCGTGGATTTGATTGGCTCTTACAGAAAGGACAAGTACATTCAACCAATCCGAACGCTAGCGTGATTCGATATTGATTCCATAGACACAAATTTGGAAGTTAAAGGCGAATAAAACTAACACAAACGTTCATAACGTTGATCAAGTCGATGGCAAGCTTTGTTGTTGTTGGTGCCACAACGCTCGAAGGACATGCTCCTTCCACTGCCGCCGCTGTTCCATGTGTCCATCGTAGCTGCGTTGCTTGACTTGACGGAGCAGTGCTTTCGTATCAACGGGGTACTCAATGGGAACGTTCCGTTGAAAACGAGCGTACTCTTCGACCGATACAAACCCTCGCTTCGTGAAAGGCTGAGTCATGGTGAAGAAGGTCCGCACGCGGGTATATTGAGGCCCCCACTGCTCCATGACGATCCACATCTTGGTTTCCATGAGCCACGTCTTCTTGTCCGTCGGGTGTGCGTCGTCCTGGACGATCGTGCGCAGCGTCATAATCGATTCGTCAGACGTTGTTGAACTGAGGTAGCTCAGTGTCTTGAGCTGGATGCGGCGGGGGCCGTGGCCCACGTCTTCCTTGACGTACGTCATCCGGGCATCCCAAATGTACTACGGATGAAAAGAACAAATGATTCGAATGAACCAGAAAGAAAAAAGACCAATACTATTCGAAGAAGGTTCGTCACGAGTCGGATGGACCAATCACAACGCTTGAAACGACTTGAATTGACCAATCAAAAACGAATGTTCAAGTGTACCGTGTTGCAGTCAAACACGTCGAGCTGGGTGGCGCAGAAGGATCCTTCGGCCGTCCATACTGCGTTCGTGACTTGGTCCCGCGGAAAGGGCAGCATGAACTGAGCCATGACCTTGGTGCGCACAACGCCGTCGTCGTCGTCGAGGACGTGCACGTGGATCTGGTCGTCTGCGTCGAAAGGGAACGGAATGTCGGCCATGGCCTGGGGGGTGTTGTGAACCATTTGCTTGGAGATCCACTCGCACGCTGTCTTGCGGAGCGCTGGGTCGCCCAGCATCAAGTGACTGCTCTGCCATGTCTCGCGGGTGGTAGTCGGCTTTGGTGCGTGGAGAGACTGATGCGACACCCACAATGACAACAAGTTCGCCGTCTGGGTATGCATCTGAATGGACTTCTTGAGACCTCGGTTCACGTACGACAAATCGAGCATGTCCGCTTTGAGGGCGGCCGCCACATGGGTCCACGACAGTGGGGTATCGTGGTACTGCGCATGCTCCCTGGCTTGCTGCAAGCGGCTCCGGTTGTTCTCCATGTCGAAGATCACCCGCTTGAGGTACAAGATCTCTTCCTTGGGGATCCTGTACTTGTCCTTCGCCACGCCGGTCAGTTGCCGCTTGGGTTTCGGCATGATGGAGAGCTGTGCACGAGCAGAGCGAAATACAATACAGTATTACGGCAAATGAAAGCCGATAATTTTATATTTCCTCGTTATCATCGTAGTATACAAACAGTAAGAGAATACATACACAAACCAATTATATTTCTGCATTTGAGATTTGTGACACGAAATAATGTGAACAAATTAAATTGTCGTCCAGACAATTTTTATAGTTTGGTTCTATTATCCCATACGATTCCTAGTATGAATCACATACAAAAGTGCCAGTTCACAGTAATGCTATGACTCAGTTATATTTGCGTATTTATCGCCTGTTCATTATTCTAGGCATCGCGAATGTTGAGCATCTTGCGCAGTTGAAGGGTCAACTGCTCTTCCTTGGGCTTGGGCCGCTGCAAGATGGTCACTTGGGGTGGATTGGGCGGTTTGGACGGCGGCTTCTTGTCGCCCAACGTCAGCGGCGCCATCACAGGCGTCGGTTCCGGTTCATGCGATAGGGTCGGCGGCGACAGAAACGGCGGAATCGGCAGCGACTTGGGGTCCGGCGAGTTCTGGAACGCACTCCACGCCCACTTGGATTCAGATACAGCGGGCTTGGTTGTCTTGGCGGACTGTTTGTCGTTGTTCGGGCTGGATTTCTTGCCCTTCTTCTTGGATGGGGCTGCTACTCTCATGATAAGCTCGACGGAGTCGTGCGATTAGATGCAGGTACCTGTCTGTTGCTGTGGAGAAGGAGAGGACGGGAGAGGGGTGGCAAGAGGTGCCGGTGGTGGCGTCTTTTCTCGTGATTGACTGCGCACGTCTTTGATCGAAGTTCCCTGCATCACCATCGATCGTGTGAGGGAAACAACACATGATGGGAGAGACATACCAAACGTTGCGGGGTTAATAACAGGCAGCCGGTCGGTTTCACTTTCACAGTAGGTAGGGAAGGTGATGCTGCCTGATGGTCGGGGTATTCAAAGTAGCCCTGCGCCGCATTCCACACCCGCGCGTCGACTTCCATGGGTTCGTGTGCCATCTCCCTACGCCATGTCCATGGGATGGGATGGTCATCATGAGGATGATCGTACCTGGATACTTGTAGGGAAGCGTTCACATGGCCTTCGTCGGTGAAGAAGGGAACGAGCGGTCGGCCGACGAGGTCTTTCTGCGGTGGCTGCTTGGCGGCCATAATCGTCGGAACTTGTTTGAGGGACCTGAAAAATGGTGCCGTTATTTTGCCAGGAGTATTTTTAAAACCCGCTCTTTTCTCGTCATATATTATAATCATCTCGATGTTGTATGCATCTAGAGAGGTATTTAATTTTGACAAAATAAAAACCCTGAAATCGATCGAACTTCAACTGCCCTTGGCTACCAAAGTGGATGCTTGACAGGACTCATCAACAGGAACAACTACAGTACCTTCGCGCTTAGTACTACTAGTACTACGTAGTAGTACTACTCCAGAGTAACTAAGGTCATGTATAACGAATGCCGTGGATAGGCGATTCACAAATGCTTCGGATGTTCTCATTGCGGCAGAAGAAATGACGTATTAAGTAAGTAGTAAGACCCATTTGCGCTAATAATAAAAACACATTAACGCTCCATGTACTACTACGTAGTACACAGGATTAACCGAACACGTTTAAATGAGTTTATTGGCGAACCTCCACGGAGGGAGGACCTGTGATTGGCTTGAAAATATAAGTTTTGAGAGGATCCTTCCGAATTGCATACTTCCGGCCACGAGATTGCCCTTTTGCCGCGCATATTCGGATTGGCCATCATGGATGCGCTATGCGACCATGCTCTCTTCAACTTCTCCGTGCAGGATGCGGATCTAATGGACTATATCGAAGCCATCCAAGGACTTCTTGTGGTACGCATGCTCCCCGATGAAGCATGAACTTGATGGGGTCCCATGTGTAGGCGTCACCGGACACGGACGAAGACCAGGCTCTGGTCTTGAATGCGATCAACGTCGTGGAAGAGTACATCCTTGCGACTCCGCACACCAAGGCCACGTACTCGTACCTTTTGCCCAGCGTGAGTCTACTGAAACAGGAGCTGTCGTACTACGTCTCAGTCCCGTCGACGTTGGACGTTCCCGTGATCACGGACGACGAGCAAGGAAGCATGAGTAGTCCGAGCAGCATCGATCGCGACATCGATACGTCCATGGTCATTGAGGAAGTCCCCGACAAGACACCGGTCATTCGGTGCAACGTATGCTGGGGCGAGGAATCGTTCGTGAACGACTGCATCGTCATCTGCGACGAATGCGACGTATGTCGTCGTCGTCGTCGTGCATGTCCTTTCTGACGAATTTTTTTCCCATTAGGTTGCTGTCCACGAGTCATGCTATTCCATCCCACACGTGCCCGAGTCGTCGTGGTTCTGCAACTTTTGCGACGTCCAGCGGGTCGCGCCGGCCGAGACATGGGAACCCGTCGGCAAATGCCGCGCTTGCCACCTCAAAGGTACCCTCCATTCCCTCCATCTATCTATGTGTCAGCCTTGGCTCATGATGATTAGGCGGGGCGCTCATGCCGTCGCATGTTCCCAACACATGGGTCCACATGTCGTGCGCGATCTACCTCCCGGAACTGTACTTTCTCCACCACAACGTCGTCGGACTCGACGCGCTCAAACCCCGGCGGAAGCTCAAGTGCATGTTTTGCAAACAACCCAACAAGGGCGCGTGTGCCCAGTGCGCGCACCCCAAGTGCACCGCCAGCTACCACGTCCAATGTGCGCTGGAGCATGGCGTTACGTTTCACGATACCAGTGGCACTGGGACGTCGTACACGAGCCTGTGTCCAACCCACCACCTCCGTCGTCCACTACCCCTCAACCAGGTAATACTAACCCCGAAACCCCCAACCCCCGGAAATTCAGCAGCACAACGTGTGTAGGTTTGTCCAACCCAGCCAGAAACAACCAAGACTACTACCACGGATACCAAAGTGCAGCGGAATATTCAACAGTGGCTGTCTGAACCAGTGACTGAAGTGCCAGCAGCCCCAACTACTACTACTAGTAGTACTAGTACTAGTACTACACCATCGTCGAAACCGCCCAAAACAAAACTCAAAAAAGGATCCGCAACCAAACCGAGTGGCAACCACCCCGAAACCCCGAACCCCCGAACCCCCGACCCCCCGAAACCCCGAAACCCCGAAACCCCGAAACCCCGAAACCCCGAAACCCCGAAACCCCGAACCCCCGAAACCCCGAACCCCCCTTCCCATGAGCCATCCCCCGTCGTCGTCATTTTCCACGTTTCGACCGTCGAAACACCTCGCCCAAGTATTTGTCCCTGCGAACCCAACCGCGTCCGACGACAATCTGGTGCTGGTTGTTCTGCCCCAGCTCCCCCTCGGCATGGACTTTGCCTACTCGGACGAGTCTGGGAAGAATCCTCCTTGGACGATCCAGGACGTATCGAACCCGCTCCTGCGCGGCGCCGTGGACTCTGGCCTCATTCAAAAGTACCCAACCATATATAGGATATTTGGATGACTTGTGTGAACTGATTCGCCACATCTATCGAGTGATTTGTTGACCAGGATCACACTAATTTCAGTCACACACCAATTCGGTGTTGAAGAGTGCATTTGATTCGTGTTTTCTGGGTTTCGATTGGTCTATCGATTGTCTGCCGATTTGGTGATTCTTCTTATGCCTATTCGATTGAGAACCCAAACCCACTCCAATTTTGAATCGACTTGACCATATCACGACAATAGGATTTTGACTTGGGTTTTTTTTGTAGGGGAGACCAAGTCGTGGCAATCAACAACGTTTCGCTGGAAGAAGGCGGCGGCGTCACGCCTGCCCAGCTTAGCTCGACCATCCTACCCCAAAACCCCGACCAACACTCTGTTCAAGTGTGGCTTCGACGAGCGAGGACTTGTAACACGGACGACGTTGATTGGCCGTGGGGGTTTCTTCGAAGCGACGGCAAACTCGCCATGGTGCCCGTGTGGCAAGAGATGGCCGACGTGTACTTTTCCCCCGTCTCTGCCAAGGTACATTGAGCTTTTAATGCATATTGGATATCATATATATTTGGTATAAACAACGTCCGAAATCGCGTGCTTTAGCGAACCAATATGGAGTTTTGATTGGTGGAAAATATACTTTTTTCTGTAAGCGCCAATCAAATCTACTCAAAATTGGATGAGTGTCGATTTGTGATTCGATTATTCAACGGGGCTGGACATGTGGTCGAATCCACAATATTGTCAGTTTACCCAATAGATGGACTAGGTGTGGGGATGATTCGTCCCATCGTTTATCGAATCTTCTTTGTAGGATTGACTTTTGGACGTAGAAGTTGGTTCTGTGGTGATATTCCACGAATGTAGGTATCCCACTAATGAGATATTTCGGGGTTTCGGGGTTTTTCCTGCAATCTGATTGGCTCGATAAATCCTTTTGCCGATTCTCTTGTGTACATTTGATATGGTTGTGTGTCGATTCATTCATGATTTCTTTTCCATGTCTCTCCAGTTTAGAATAACCATATATTGTTTCACCAAACAATTCCATCGGTCGATATTGTTGTCCTGACAGTAGTTTGGTATGTAAAAGTTGGGACGATTTCGATGGTTTCTGGATTGGTGGATTTGGTGTACTGTCCCTCTAAATTCGAATCAACTAATCTGTTCAAATCTGGTAAACTCTGTCGACATGTGGTGTATATGATGACGTGGATTGGCTGCTATTTTCACGAATGGCGAAATATATATATATATCTTTCCCTCCTGGCATACTATATATTTGACACGTGATCTCCAATATCGTGCAAACCACCGTCGTCGATATATTGACTTTGTTACTATAGCCATCGATCAAGTACTTTCGGGCGTATTTCCAAAACACGGCCGACTCGCGTCATGTTCCCGCGTTAGGGTACGCAGTCCCGCCCGTGGTGCGCCGCCACCGCCGCGTATCCATGCAAGCGAAGAACATGACCAACATTCTCATACATCCCCCGCTGGACGAAGGCGACATGGTCCAAGTGGCGGCGCGGACGTGGCCGGGTATCAACAAGCTGGGCGGGACGGGTCGGATCAAAGCCAAGCACGTGGTCGATGGGCAGATGATGTACGACATTGCGTACATTCTGGGGGGGGCGGAAAAGGGCGTGGAGAGGCAGTACATTACACCCGTGTCGGAAGACAATCCTGTCAACATGAATGCATCTGTGAACCAACAAGAGGAGGACGAGATTGAACGATGGACCGTCTATGCCGAATATACCGCCTACATTCAACACCACCCGAGCGTCCAGAGGAGGGCACAGGACGACGGGTTCCACTTGACATTTCAACAAGTGATTCGTGATGAAGAAGAAACGCTCCAAGAAATCACAAACAACAAGAACGATACTACAGTAAGAGAAGCCATGTATGGACAGGTGGTGGTGACGGCAGTCGTGGGTCAAGACGAGACGATGATGGAAGAAGATGAGATTCTGCGGGAACTGGAGATCTGCCAAGGCCGTCTGGACCAATTGGAGGCCGGCATTCAGGCGCAACTGACACCCGTGATGGAGAAACTCTCGAAAGAGCGAAAGGATCTGTACGATACCAAACTGGAGAGGCTTGTAGCCAGTCAAGTGGAAGTCACGTACAACCAACTGATCAATCTCCAGCACCAACACGACAATATGAACGACTCGTCAGACGATGAAGAACAAGACGACGAACCCCGAAACCCCGAAACCCCGAAACCCCTTGGCGACCAACATGCTCCAGTACAAGAACAAGAAGAAGAAGAAGAGGAGCGGTTGAACCCGCTGTTTGCGTCGATTTCCGAATCCACGGGCCATGTGTGCGTTCTGTGCGGTGTCTCAGGCGGGGACTTGGCTGCGACGTCTTGCGGCCACAAAGCGCACATCATGTGCTTGTTGTACACGCCGGAAACGTACTTTGAACATGCGATGGGGTTTGGCGTGGCGAATATCCCACCTCGTCGCAGAACACTCGTGTGCGCCTTGTGCAAAACGTCCACGGGCGTCAACAAGATCCAATGCCACGCCAAAAAGTGCACCAAACCCATGCACGTGCAGGTACATCACATATATGTGTGACACTGGGCGAGCCTTTTCTAAAAACTCTGGATTTGGTGTTCTGAATTCACACTAATTGAAGCCATACACTATTTAGTGGTGAATGCTGTTCCTGCACTCGAATTGGTTGGTTCGATTCTTCTGTTTTGTGTCCATATATACTAGTAGATCGTCGTTTTGGCTGAAATTTGTGCGAATTGATTTGAGAATCGATTTGTTGTCAGGGATTTTAAGCTTCTTCAATGTATGGTGTACATATTTTTAGATGTACTTTGTGTGTGGGCCAACTATGGTAATCGAAGATAGGGTCAACTTTATCACTAGTGTGTGTAAAATGATTGGCTAGGACATTCTAAAATAGATTCATATTCGATTTTCTACTGGGAGGTCCGTCCACATACATACATAGGAACGGATTTGACACACTATTTGTTGATTTATTCGTTTACTATATTTTCTATGCCTCTGCTGGCTCCAGTTGAGACTAACCGTTATATAGTGTGCGTTTGTGGCGGGGCTACTGACCACCCATCCGACCTTTTGTGGATGGTGCCCCAAACACTTGAAACTTGCGGATGCCGCCACCCAAGCGTCTGTGGATTTGCCGCCTCATCTTCAAACAACCAAGCGAAAGTTCATACAAGAGCACAAACAGCAACGAGTGTCGAAACCACAAGACGACAAGACCCAACCACCAGTAAAAGTACCAGTAGAAGTACCAGAAGTAGTAGAAGAAAAGGCGACCAAGACCCCCGTGATACCAGCAAAAGAACCTCGGCATGAAAACCAAGTGTTTCAAGTGGGAGACACGGTGGACGTGTTGCCTCGGCTATGGGCGGGGATCAATAAACCTGGGGGAGTTGGTCGTGTCAAAGCCAGACACGACACACCTGACACTGGGATGATCACGTACGATATAGAGTACGTGCTTGGGTGTCGAGACAAGAACGTGCCTCGAATGTACCTGACCAAGTATACACCCCCGACACCCAACCAGCACAAGACACTGGCCAAACGACGACGGACCACCAACACATTATAAACCCAACAAGTATATATGTATAGTATAATATATACATCTGGAATCCTAACATCACGTTATGTAGCAAGGTTCGAATGAACCTATTTTGTACATATCGTTTCTACAAGTACATTTGAACACTCGAGAGTGTTGGTTGATCACTCCCATCTTGTACCCGTGGTTGTACTTGGTTTGAAATCCCTCATGCTACTGTTGCAGTCATACCATTTTTCGTTCAAGTTCAGGTGTTTTCCGGTATAATTCGTACCACGCACAACTGATTCACGCCATGTGCGTTATGTTCGCCAACCATTCTATATATTTCGTCCAGACCCTACTTCGTTGCAGTATATTTCGACAAATGTCCAGTATATGTCAGTATATGTCACCCCACAACCAGTATATTTCACATGTTGTTCAATATATTTCAAATGATGTTTCATCGATTTTTTCCAAGCAAATCAAGTACTAGTACTAGTAAATCGCAGGTGATGGGTGGATACTTGTCTAAATCATAGATATTGTGCTTTCGACCTAAATTTGGTATTTTCGGTAGATTCGACCTCTCTACCGAAAATACCCGTAACTACGTCGATTTATCGAAATAGTTGCAACATCATTTGAAGTATATTGAACAATGTATGAAATATACCAGCTGTGGGGTGACACATACTGGACATTTGTCGAAATATACTGCAACGAAGTAGGGTCTGGACGAAATATATAGAATGGTTGGCGAACATAACGCACATGGCGTGAATCAGTTGTGCGTGGTACGAATTATACCGGAAAACACCTGAACTTGAACGAAAAATGGTGTAGTAAGTTAGTATATTTCAGATGATGTTCCATCTGTATAAAAATGTAGACACTGATTCAAGTCACACACTAATTTGACATGCATGATAATTTCCTGCAATGCGATTGGCTATATTCTTCTGCTCCATTGGTTATTCACCAAGTCGCTCCAATTGTTTTTATGGTCGATGTGGATGAAAAATGGCATAAATTGGCTGTTTTTCCAAGAAAAGTTACAATAGTAGATACAAAGTTGTGTGGATGATGATAGTTGAAGTATGGAAAAATAGTTCGATTTCCGATTGAAGTGCAAGACTTTACTGTTAACGTGAGCACAAACCAACCACCTCCATATAAAAGTTGGACCAAATCGGTCCAAACATCTCGAAAATTGGAATATTTCGATTTTGGCGCTTTCGAGTGAAAAATTTCATTGTGTTGTGGCGTGGGGGTCCTCGTTGGAATTTAAATCGATTTGATTGGCTACCTCAGATAAGCTCAAAATTATTAACCAATCAAAACCTTCTCAATGAAATTCAACCAATCAGATCGATTGTGGATCGGGCGTGATTCGATTGCACCCCAAATTTGTATCAAATCGACAATACTTTAGTCTATTTTTTCGTGGGATATGAGACTTTTGCAGATTCGCCAAAACGATTAGCCCTGCCCTTCGAATATGTATACAAGCACACAGTGATACTTTATGAGTCTATTGTTTAGTCATGACAAAGCGGTCGATTATGGCTCCGTCCGCCGCGTGCACAAAGGACCATTCCAGCGCGGTCTTGTTGACTTTGAGCGTCGAAATGCCAAAATGTACATTGTCATACATGACATTCCACGTCTGGGCGGCCACATCCACATACGGTTCATGGCCGCCCGTGGATCCGCAACTGCCCGAGACAATGTACACCGGGGCACGGGGCGATTCGTACACCGCCTTGTCGGCACTCACCCCCGCAACCACTGGTTCATTGTATGCGATGGGTAAGTGCCGTTCATAAGCATGCTGGTGCCCCGACACAACTGCGTCCACTTTGTACTTGAGAAGCAGCGGTTCAAACGCATTTAGCAGCGCCCGATGCTTGGTTTTAGGGTCCCCGTTCGGCTTGTACACCTTAAGTCCATATATTGGCCGATGGGAGCCCAGTATAACCCACGGGGTTTCGCTTCGGTTCACTCGGGCCAAATCAGCTTGTAACCACGCCAACTGGTCGCCAAATCCACCATTCCGAACCTTTGTGCCCTTGTTGTTGGTTGGCGCGCCGTCGTAATCGGTCTCGGAACTCACAGAGATGAAGTGCACGAACCCGTGAGACCACGAATACCACATATTGGCCGCGCCGTGCGAGTCTCCGGATGGCATCCGGAAGCGAGCGTTGTAAGCAGAATAGTTGCTCAGCTGCGCTTGCTTTTCGGGCGAGTACAAGCAAATGGGCGAGTAGCACTCGGCTTCGTGGTTGCCCACGGTGGTCATGTACGGAACCTAAAAAATATATATATATATATATGAAAAGAGGTTGGTTTGAGTATACTACAGTAAAATTGAAGTTCAATCATAATATATTATTCTGATCGAAAGTGCCTTTTTCAAAGAGGAGGTAAGAATATATATGTATATATTTGAAACATGTATGGTGAGGTAATGTGCGACCTCTGGATGTCCTGTCGGACGGAACGAAAACGATTGCTTGAATATATATCATATACGCAACATAATCAAACGTTCGACTTCGTTTTATATCGATTTATATATGTCAGCATATAGTAACCAAGCACCCAAATGCTATCGATTGCAATATTTTTTTAAAAATTGTTCAAATTCGCGGCCATGAAGATATATATATATATATATTTACCTGACTCATGGCAGGACCTAATGCGTCCATCCAGGCATTATAAGCTTTTTCGTATACAAAGCCCAAGGCAGCAGTGTCGGCATTTAACGTGTGAAAGGCATTGTCGGCATAACTGATATCGCCCACATGCCAGATAAAGTCGAATCGTTCTTTTAACCCGAGTAAGAGCGACACCTAATATTATCTCCACGTAATTAATATATGCAAAATTGAAAAAATAAAAAATAAATATTTTGGCAATATATATATATATATATATACCGTGTCTTGGGCGTTTCGTTCGCCAAAATCCGCATACACGGCAATCTCAAACGAAGTATCGTCGTCGTCGCGGGGCTCTCGGGCCGTGTGAAAGTGGTACACTGGGGACACATTCGACGCTACAACCGTATCGCAGATTTGGATCCGTGTCGAATGAATGGATGCATGCAAACATACCATCAGATGCGCTCCCGACGCGGTAGAAGTACTTGCTTCGAGGCGTCAGGCCGGTCAATGTGGCGTGGTAGGTGAAGAGCGAGTACACGTCGTCGGCGTAGTAAGACACGGTTTCGGCGGCCACGGTGGCAAGAGTGAGGTCTGTGGGGGATGTGCCCACCCACAGCGTGCTGTCGTTCACTCGGCGATACGAAGCCCAGGACACGGTCATGCCGGTACCAGGCGTAGCTCCGGCGTACGCAAGATGGATCTGTCTCGGCTGGATCAGCTGCGCCGAAGTGAGGGGAACCACCGACTCGGCAGCCAAACGCATTCTCGGCGGCGACGACGACCAGCTCACCGGCGAGGTTGCCACGCACAGCAAGATAGACAGACATGCCCCCGTCACAATGATAGCTGCCAGCAGGCTAAAGCTGGCGCGCTTCTTGGTGAAGACGGACGGCACTGGCAGGGTGCCATACGAGGATTGCCGCGCCGTGGCGAACCTGGACATGTTCGTTGGAGGAGACATGACCTGTTTGTTGTGTAGTAGTATCGACGAGTCCTCAGAATAATATTTTTATTTCCCACCTAAATCCATGTTGGATCCTTCGTGAGTTTATTTTATTATGTAGAGGTCGTGCAGATTCAGTTTCAAATCTGCGAAACTGCTACAATCGCACCAATGATATGTATCTTAGTTGTTTCCCGACTTGATTAAAGTATTGTGAATTCGCTATCCGAGTGGTTTGTCTCTGTAATCAATATTGAATCACGCCGGAGTTCTGATTGGTTGAATATATTTGTCCTTTCTGCAAGAGTCAATCAAATCCAGATTAGCCAATAGCGTCGATTCAATTCGACGGGGTCTGGAAATTCGTACCGAATCCACAAAACCGTCTACCGGTAGTTTACAGTAATTCCCTTAAACTTATCTTCTGGGGTTCGAATGAGCGCTAACAGTAAGAACAAGTGAATGCTAACGCAATAACAATGTGATTTGTTATTTGTGGTGGGTCGTTTAGATACAGCGCAAGTTCTAATCCACCTATAGCTAGCTGTACATGTGTCAAGAGTACAACATTACAGCATATACATAGATAGCTCTATGAAGTGGCCCCGTCGAGTCTGTTAGCACCGACACTTGGTGAACAATCTTCACTACGAAGACGGGCCTTGTACAACAAATACTCCGACGACTTGAACCACGACGATGCACAGGATGCGGAAGTGGTATGTCGTGCTTCGTGCGTTGGGCTCCCACTGGATCGAGTGCGATAATGTGTACCACTTGTACCGGGCCTTCCTCACAGGCTCCATCTGCGACACTGAACGCCCGCGTCAGGTCTAGCAACCAAGGACAAAAGTTGCTTCTGTATTTTGAAGGCAGCACCGCATGCTGTCCGAGTACTGCGCAAGGAGTCAGTACCACCGAACCCTGCCGACTGGTGCTGCAAGGAAGATGTTGGCCAGCACAACCATCCCCTCACGAAGGTGGCTGCTGAACGAAAAGCGACCTGTGAGGACAAAGATTATTGTCCTCACAATTGGCCAATTCTGATGATTGTTAATCAAGTTTTGCAGTATCTTAATTTGGTTTTACAGGTATACTTCCGGTTTTGGCAGACACAGCTGAGGGTGATGATAAAGATGAGTTGCGAAACCTTTCTATTTAGTAGACAAGCCGCTCGCATTTGTGCTGCATACCGGTAACCCAATATAACAATTTTGCTATGTTTAGGGCTGGTCTGGATTCCACCCCATAAAATTATGCCATAAACCATTTTGGCAAGTCTGCAAATTTTCCCAAAGTCTCATATCCCATGAAGAAAACGAGAAAAGAAGAATATCAGTTGAATTATGGAAACATTATTCGATTTCCAGTTGAAGTGCAAGACTTCAACATGAACA